ATGAGAGGGGGCAGAGGGTTTTTATCGGAAGTGCAGGACCGTGCAGAGTTATAAGCTTTTTGGGCACCTATTCCCATTTAATATTTCACGCTCATTTCTGGGTCATGGGGGGACTTTTCTGCTTTAAATAATCGCCCCCCCCCCCCCAACCCCTACTAGGTTGTCCGTTAGGAATACCCATAGAAGGATGAAGCTTAAGTGGAGTCTGATGCAGCAAAACTGATCAGTGACGATTTAAGCTCTGACGCCGAGGACAATGACATTGAAAATTAATCAAGGAACCAAATTTGGAACACTTTAAATGCCAATGTTCAGTTTATTTGATGTAATCATTTTTTGATTTAAGGAAGGTGCCCACTAATGTGTCTGAGACAAGTAGATCATATCAGGGGCTATTGAAATCTAAAAAGAAAACTGGGGGTAACCACGCATTTTCCAGAGACAACTGCGCTTCAGTGTGGAGAAAAACGCTAAATAGACGGGCAGTCGAAGACAATTGTGGTAGGAGGGTAAGTGCCTAAAGAAATACGTGCAAGGGTCAATCGCCCAAGGCAAAAAATAAAATGAAATACATGCACAGTGTGCAGAAAGCTGCGATCATAATTAAGCCTTGCACCCAAAAAATGAAGCTGGAAAGAAGTAGTAAAGCAACTTAAACTTCACCCTCCAAAACAACAACTTTGGAATGGTCAGCTATCGGAAACCACGTGAGGAAAAAAGGAACAAAGGCCATATACGTCACCAATAGCCATTTGTGACAGACATATCAACCGGAAACACTCCTCGCACTTGTTGTCAAATACCGTTTGGCCACTCTCTTGCAAAACGGTTTAAGGATTATTTATTATTATAAATTGGAGGTCGCTCAGCTATTCCTATTCACTACAGCAGTTGCCAAACAACAATTTACACTGGCTTCATTTTCAACGTTTTGGCCAAATTGCTCCTTAATTAAGCTGTAAGAATCAGCCCGTGAAATAAGAGAAAAATGTTTTTTGGCCGAAGAATTGTGCTTAAGTCTGGCATGTTTTGTCATCGGTGGAATAATCGCTGTAATATTTATCATAACATTGGGATGGCAAAGGAGTCAGAACCATGAAGAACGAGGTGAGAGACGAATGATCGTTCCTATACAAGAAGTCGGTGACAGATCTAGAGAGAGACAAGAGGAAAGAATAGTACAGGGACGTACAGTAAAAATAGCAAAGATTCCGCGGGAACAATACGATTTATAAGGTATCGTTAAGAAGTTTAATATATTTCTTGAAAAAAATACTTTGTGGCGGCAGATGGATGCCAAGTCGCTTCCTCGTGATCGTACATCTACAGTTGGGCCGGAAGGGAAGTTTTTAATAAGGTGTGTGTGCGTTACGAAGACGACTGGGAACGAGTCAGTTATGGAATCTTCTAGAAACGCGGAAGACACGACTCGCGGGGCAAACTATTCCATCAATCATTAATCAATCGCTGGTCGCTTTTCAGACGATAATATCAAGGAAAATTCATTGAAACATAAAAACAATACACAACAAAAAACAAAAACTGATAAAATCACGGACATAAAGTATTCATCAGAATTGACTTTAAGCTCTAATTTCATCTTTCTGTTTTCCTACAGCAGCAGAGCCACTCTGACCAGAAGTCTGATTCCTTTAAAGCCTTTGTTCATACTAAGTAGGAACATGAACTCCGTAGAGAGCGCTTGGTAATCATACAACTGGTGACCGGTACCTCGGCCGTTGGCCTGAACTCAAAGTTGCAGTTGTGACATGTCTGACCGTAGATCGCTCTGATCTAAAATTAATGCGAGTGCCGCAGCGGTAAAACGACAAATATTGCGCTTTCTTGATGAAATGAAGTCGCTGATTTTTTTATGCTGTTGCTAAATTATAGCTAATTTTAGTTGACTTATCTCTAACCTGGAAGCTATCATAGATGATTAGAGAAGGGAATCAGGAATACAGACTCCAGCCTGCGTAGCACGCTTCTTCAGTCGAGTTAAAGCGCGACATTCCTCTTTTTTTTGCTCTCGTCCCAACGTTCTCAACGAACTCGCGCGGAAACGCTTGCTACGCAGGCTATTAAGACTCATTGTACGTTATTCGTTTGCTGCATTTTATTTTAAAAGGAATCAGAATAGCAAAAACCTTTAGTTGTTGCAGGACAATCTGTACCAAAGGCAGTATACAAATAGAAGTGATATTTTAGGCAACGGAATCGAACTTCCAAAGAGCAATGTATTTTGTGGATTTGCCTCATGATTCAGGACACTCATGCGTAAACTATGCTTATCCAAACTAAAATGAAATATTTCGTAAACTTTCCATCCGAGAAATTTTGGTTGTGACGTCAGCGTACGTCCGTACATTCTTTGGGGGGGGGGGGGGGGGG